TTCTTAACATTTATCTTAAAATAGTCATTTATATCGCTTCAAGTTTTATGTTTCAAGCTTCGTTAAGTGCAGCCGTCTCCACGCCATGGAGCAAGATGTTCAAAGGGAGGGCCTTGTATATGCACAGCTTGGTGCTATTGCCATCAGCTTTATTCTTCCAGAGCTTGAATATCTTGTTGCTCTCTTCTATTGCCAATCCATAGCGCCTCTTTAATCCCGCGTCCATACGTTTCAAGTCATTGGTCTCTCAAGATTCAAATCTTCTAGAGTCTTTGAGGACAGTCCATCCAGATGCCAGACACGATTTCAACGGCAAACTTGAGTTTCTGAGCTACAAGGAAGTGATCAAAACCAGGTCTATTATGCTAAGGACTGTCATTTTTACCAGACCATAAATCTTGCCTGATTGGCAGAGTACTGAACACATGAGGAACTTGTTTAAGTTGCTGACCGGGCACAAAATGAGTGCATGAACTGTTGAACGAATGAATGAATAGGCATCATCGCATCCGCCGAGAAGCGAAGTCACTTAGCGTAACACCGCAAAGGGTGAACCACCTAATGACACATGACACGCACTATGAATTCTTTCAGTATCATCTGTACCCACCTGGCATCCAATCGCCACATCTCATTATTAGATTGGCATATGAAGAAGGCAGCAGACTTTTGAGCGGGTTTCTATCGATGCATCGCCTGCCATAATCTTATTATTCAACAGATTCCTTTCATCGCCCGTAAGTTATGTAACGCTGAAGCTCAGCGTCTGCAGCTTATTCAAGAGCTTTCGTGCCAGTTTCTTCGTTTTCTTTCCTCTCTTGCTGTTGTTTTAGTTTTGGTAGTAGTGTCTATCGCACTACAAACTAGTTAACCTGATTTACTGAATGATTGAATAAGCACCGAGTGCTGAAGTAGTTCAAAATGCATAGGTTTTTAATAACTATTTGCGAAGCGTGATTATTACACGTTATTGTTCAGTTTATTACAGGGTGAAGTCATCACTGAAGCGGGATGACTATATGTATGAGCGTGGTCACGTCTAAGCAAAGGCAACTTGTCGTGCTAATCCGGGTCTAGTAAGCAGCTTATGAGTGTTATCTGGTCATTTAAAGGCTAAAACTCATGAGTGGCTGCTTTAACTGATGAGAACTTGAAGGCAACTGATGTTAATTATACTATTTTGACTGTACATGAAATGTCTAGTGTTTATTTTTCTAAATATAAATTCACAGTTTTGGTCAGTTATTTGAATACCGACCATTTTCTTAGCAGATTCGATCGTCATTGGGGCGTTGTAATCATGCAGGGATGCAAACGATACGGTTTTTGATACGCTGCACATTGGGCATAGGGTCGTACAAACACTTCAGAAGCTTCACGTTTTGTGAAATTTATGATGCCCATCTGATGCCCATCTCTTAGGCGCAGGGCTGATTTTACACATATCACATCTGGGAAGTATGTCATAAAAGACGAGAAAGAAAAGCCGCCTGAACAGATTCAAGAAATCGAACAGCCAGTCCGGTCCTGCCGATATCTTCCATGAACTAGATGTTTGAATGACAGGACAATTTAGATATGTACATACTTATACGTGTATATTTTTGCAGAGCTGTTACCTGTAACTTTCAAACATACTGAGTTTGTTCTTGATTCTTTTAGTATTGAGTCCTCGTTATTTATTGGAAGTGATCTTCTTGTCAGTACTGTTCTGATACATTGGTTGCAGGTATATGACTCTAAGCCAAAGGACATTTTACTGATGAACTGACGTTCCTGGCAGCAACGAAAGTGTTCACCATCTGAACATTGATACACTCTGAGTATGACGTCCAGTGATATTACCTCATGACGGACAGTGTGGTTGTTTTCCGAAACGTCTTCTCATCTGTAAGGTGCTTTGGTTCTGAGCTTCGTCCCCCAAAACCATTGTATTGCTGCAGTGCGTTTTCAATACCACTTTTTTGAATTCCTCTGCGCTGAATCGAAATAAACTTTTGAGTATATTTACTCACAGTTCGTTGCTCCAGGGTCTCAAATGCATTTGCAAGCATTGGATCACCAAGCGTAGAATTTCTGTCGAAGATTAAGTCGCGTTCCATCGATGATTTGCGGATTCTTTGTGTTTCGAACGAAGCGGAAGGAATCAAAAAGTCGTTGAGCTACGGCAAACTTCATTCTGTCGGATTGTACATTCCTGAGGTAAGTTTCATACGAAGTATTACCTTTAGCGCCACCACTGTTGCTGTTTGTTTTTGTTCTGTAGGTATTGGAACAACGAATCGGCACCACTATATCGAAGAAGGGTTTTATGAACTTTTTGGAAGAAAAGAACCGCGGATGGATCAAACGTTGGGCGGTGAGTATCATGTTATTCTAATAATAGAATGAACGTTGTGTCATGTAACATATTGGTGTAATGTCTGCTTCGCTTTTGTTGATACAACTACTGGATTGATAGTATGTTATCAAGGCGTGTTGACATAGTTATCTAAGAGATCTGCTTTTAATTCTTGGGGTGTCGGATTCGATTACACCCGTGGAAAATCTTTGCCTACGACACATTGCTTTATATGGTGTGGCTCAGTCGGTGGAGCAACGAACTCACAACCGATGAGTCGCGAGTTCAAGCCTTGATCATGGTCACTCGCCCTTCTTCTTTCTGTGGTGGACGAATACTACTGTATGAGAAGGAAACATGAGACTACACACTGCACTTGCCACACAGGTGTATACTCTGCCCTTAAAAAAGATACTTTTTGCCGATGGTACCAAACGGAAACCAGCATCTCACCATCAAACTTCATGAAAAGAAAGGCGCCAAAATGGCCCAGTCTTTTTTTTTTTCCTATGTACCAAGGAGTATTTTTTGACGCATGAAAAATATTCCATTGTGCTATGAAAAGTAATATGAC